CTCTGTTGGGTATCTTTCCAAGAGAACTAAAAGAATCATATCACAGAGAAGTATGTGCACCCATGTTTATAGCGGCACAGTTTGTAATAGCTAAATCTTGGAAACAACCTATTTGCCCATCCGTTGGAAACTGGATAAAGAAGTTGTGGTTTTTCTATAAAATGGAATATTACTCAGCCATAAAGAGCGAGAGAATAGATTCATTCATAGGAAAATGGATACATATTGAAGATATACTCCTAAGTGAAATAAATAAGTCCCACATGTGTAAATACCAAATAGTTTCCCTGGTGTGAATATTCTGCAACAATGCATAAGATTCTAATAAGATTACTGACATTTAGAAATGGGAGGAAAGGAGCTAAAGGTGTAGGGAAGGTGTGATACGTAGGGGAAGAACAAAAAGGGAAAAGAAAAAAATGTGAGAGAATGAAAAGATGAAAATAAAGTGTTTGTAGATGGGGAGGGGAGGAGGGGGTGAAGGGAGGGCAGAGGTAAGGGGAAAAAAATGAGAATCAAGACTTGCCATGTAAAGGTACATGATCCCAACAATGAATGTAACTGTACTGTATCCCTAAATGTACCAATAAACTCAATAAAAAAAAAAAAGAAAGAAAGTGATATATAAAGCAACCATTACACTGCCTGACCAAGTATTCATATGAGTGCTCAGCAGTGTTAATGTTATTTCTGTTGTTATCCTATGCTAATTTTCACTAATATTCAGCATTTCAAAATACATGAGTCTTTCTTCTGCCTTTAGTGTGAAGATAGCTAATTTGTCTATTTTTACTATATTTCACTGTCAATTTTTAAAATTGCTTAAAAGAAAAATGTTAATTCATAATACTGATTGGCATGGATGACTACTGAAATCTTTTAGCCTTTCTTGAAGTAGCATGGTTGAAGCAGGATTGACAATGATAGAAGAGTGTTCACTGGAAGAATAATGATATCTTTGGTGCAATTTTGATCACTGATTTGACAGGAATTCTAAACAGAGAAGACAGTTCAGAATTTCATTTTGAATTTTACCTTCAGGATATTCATAAGTTCATTTAAATAATAGTTTGGCAGTTATCAAAAAGATGTGAAATCTTGTGAGAGTAGTAATTGCATTGGGCTGCCCTGCAGGGTTAACAGGTACTAGATTATGTATGGATTTGAAGAGAAGAGACCAGAGAGCTCCAGCTGAAGGATGATTTACAGTGTAACAGGTGGCCTTCCCAAATGTGAATTATAGTCCTGCCCTCCCTCAGCCCCTTGATCCCACTTAAAAGTTTGCTTTGATTTTCAAGCATTGTGGATAGATTTTCGAGTTATATCTTGATGTTTTTATATTTCGTTCTCTTTTTATGCTTGAAGTTTGGTGATTTTGAGTATTTATAAAAATGAGTATTTCTTTTTCTCTTGGCATTGAAAAAGAATATAATAAAGTACTAATAACAACTAATGTTGCCAGTCAACCTCAGGTTCTTGTGCCTGGTTCAGATGTGGTAAATCAGCAAAGTGCAGCTCTGCTAGCAGTCCCTGATGTCACCGAATGACACTAGGTAATGCTGGGGGCCAACAGTTGACACAGCCAGCTTCTGGTCACAGTTATTCCTGGCAGTCACTGTCCAATGCCAGTTTGTGCGGGACACTATAGGTTGACTCTACCAGCTGCTCATTTCTGCTGCTGGTCTTCATTGGCTGTGGACTCTGGAGCTCTCTGGTATCAATAACTCTAAGTAGTTTTTCTTTTTCTTTGGAAACAACTGCTCTGTTCACACTCCATAGGATAAATATCCCAAAATGACTTACAGGATTTATGGAGCCCACACTACCCAAGAAATAGAACCATGAGCAGATTTATAGGAATACCAAAGCGAGTCTTTGAATTAACAGGGCCTGTCCTGTAGCATAGGGACCAGCTCCTGGACTAAAAGCTGAGAAGTCACTGGAGAGTGCTGATTATATAGCAGCTTGTAGCCCTGCACGAGTGAAGGACAGGGCTGAAACCAGGGACTTCTGTCGAAGGCTTTCTGTGACTACTGAGTATACTAGTGAGTGCCTAGATCCCTCCTTTCCTGATCCTAGTCACTCCACGCTGTGTTCTCCTTTATAAATGCGGTAGTATGATCTGAAGTGGCAGGAGATGTGCGGCGAAAAGCTGCACTCAGGTTGGAGTAGAAAATGGTAGTTTGGTAGCCAGATAGCCAGCGAAAACACTGAAGCACAATGTCCCAGTCTACTGGGGTAAAAGGGGGAACAGAGAGAATGGATAGGGCAGATGGAAAACAGGTGTGGCTAAGCCATACCCTGCTCCATCTGGCAGAGGAGAAATGAGTCATGTGCTTCTTGTCTGTTTCAGATACATTTTATGTTTTTATTCAATGTGAACTGTAGATTTTCTGTAGGTGTTCTTCCTTAGTGAATAGATGTTCTGTGACTAATTTACTGATATTTTAAAAATAAAGAATAGCCGGGGATTTAGCTCAGCGGTTCGGTGGCCTGCCTCGCAAGCGCAAGGACCTGAATTCGATCTCCGGTACCAAAAAATAAATAAATAAATAAATAAATAAATAAAGTAAAGAATAGACATTGGAATGTGGCAAAAGCTTTGTGGGTGTCTTACTGAGATGACCTTGTACTTAACAAAGCTCTATCGATTGCTATTTGAGCATGAATGTATATAACTTTGCATTCTGAGAGAAACCCATTTGGTAAAGATATAATTGTTTATATATAGATGTCTGGCTTTTCTTTGCTAAAATTTTGTTTAGAGCTATGCATCTCTGTTTATTTATAAAATTGGTTTATAGTTTTCTTCTCTTGTAATGTCTTTGGTTTTGGTAAGTCAGAATGCTTTTTCTTGTGCCTTCAGTTTTCTGGAAAAGTTTGTATAGAGTAAGTAGCATTTCTTTCTATATTTCATAGGATTCACCAAGGAAGATTTCTGGGCCTAGAGTTGTCTTGGGAAAATATTAAACTGTAAACTCAAATTCACTTGGGTTATCTGTTTCTTCTGCAGTGAGTTTTGATCATTTTTGTCTTTTGAGGAATTAGTCCATTTGTGTTGTCAAACATATAGGCCTAGCATTCTCCACGGTGTTTTCTTTCTTCCTTCAATAGAATCTGAGCTGATGTTACCGCTTTTATTCTTTTCTCTTGATAATATGTATAATCTTTCTTTTTCATGATCTGTGTGGGTAAAAATTTATCAGTCTTATTAATCTCAGAGATCCAACATTTAGTTTTATTAATTCTTCTTTATTCTTTGTTTCATTGATTTTCACTCTGATCTTTACTGTTTTTTCCCCCATTCTGCTTACTTTGAGTTTAATATATTTGGGTTTTGTTATTGTTGTCATATTAGCTTTCAAAGTAGACATCAAAAGGCATTGATTTGAGTCCTTTTTTCTAGTTACTGCTATGTTTCTCTCTATATTACTATAGTGGCCTTTAATGATATACCAAACTTTTTAATGTGCTAGGTTTTCATTTTCATTCACTTCAAAAATGCTTTACAATTTCTCTTTTCATTTCTTCTTTGATGCAGAAGGTTATTTTTGTGTGTGTGTGTGTTTAGATTTCATATATTTATGGATTTTCCATGTATCTTTCTATTACTGATTACTTATTTAATTCAATTATATTCAGAGAACAACTTCATAGGGCTTGAATCATTTAAAAATTTATTAAGAATTCTTGTATGGCCCAGAATATGATCTGCTTTGGTAAATGTTATTTGTACACATGAAGGAAAAGGTATATTATGTTTTTGTTTTATAAGTATCAGGTCAATCTGAATAATAATGTGGCTTAAATAACATATGGTTATTTTTCTCTCCCCATATTCCATCAAAATGAAAGGGCAAAATCAGCTGTTGATGTGTGTTTGTCATTCTTCATATCTTTCTGTCAGTTTTTGTTTCATTGATTTTAAATCTCTTGACATGATAAACATTTCGAATTATGTTATATAGATGAATTAGCCCTTTTATAATTATGAAATCATTACCTATCTTTGATAACGATCTTTGCTTGAAATATATTTTATCTGATATTAATAATATCCAGCTTTTCTTTTGATATATTACATGTCCTTCTGATTATAACTATCTTATGTCCTTATATTTAAAATATTTATAATAAATTAAATAAAATAGAGATGGGGCCCATTTTTATTCACTGGACAGTCTACATCTTGTATTGGAGTGTTTATGCTTTAAACATTTAAATTTATTATGATATGATTAGGTCTGAGTGTATTATCTTGCTGTTATTTTTTATTTGTCCCATACATTCACTATTTTCATTTTCTTCTCCCTGCCTTTTATTGAATTAATAGATAATTTTGCATAATTTATTTCTTTTGTTGGTGTATTAAGTGTAACTCTTTGTTTTGTTATTTTAATTCTTTAATATTTTAAACATCAATAACCAAAACCCTGAAAGACTATCATAATACAATGCTTGCTAATTTTTCCGGGACTTACTTTTGTGCTAGGCATCTGCATAGAAATTTTTACAGATTATATAAATTTAGTTTTTACACTTTGCCTTAGTGGTAAGTAATGTCATTAACCTAATTTATAGTTAAAGAAACTATCTCAGAAGTTAAATCCCAAACTCACATTTGACATAGTGGGTTTTACATCTGCCTCAGCCCTGCATGCATTGTTACCCCTGTCTGAATGCATAATCCCTCCCTCCTTAGATCTGAACTGGTCCATCTTTCACTCATTTCCATTGAGCCTTATTTTCTTTCATGATGGTGAGATAGTGAGTTACTTCTGATAATCTATGTTAATCTTTTAACCCTTTGATATGTTTTCCTTTTATTTGGTAATAGCATCACTCATTAAGAATTAAAATATGTAGGCAATGACAGTGATTCTGGCAAGCTGATGGGAGAGAGGAAGGAGACAGCTTGTGGTAGGAACAGATATGTCAGGATTTATTAATTCTTACACCGAAGTAAACTGTTGCCTGCATGGTATCTTTCCATTCTTCAGTGCCTTGCTACATGGGAATCATTCCTTACAACACAGACTGACCTTCACTTAGAAGAAGACTCTGAAGATAAACTTTAATCCAATTGAGGACTACTGTTTGATTTTTGGGAGACAGCATCTTTGAACCAAAGTTATGCTTTCTGAATCAGCTGTGCCCATTGTAAACTGGATGGAAAATATTTCACACTATCTGGAAAACCAACAACTTGAAGACTCAGGTATTCCAGGTCATTGACATGAATTTGGAGCTATATCTATCTATCAATCTATATGGATCTATTATATGACATATTAATATAGATATATAGGTCTATTATATTATAGAAATAGATATATATCTATATTGATAAACATTTAGCTTAACTTTAATTATGTTCTTAAATTTATGTGCCAATAATTGCATAGAGATTTTTTTTCTTGAATATTTGATTGTGAAACATGACATTTTAAATATGTTACAAAGACTCAGTTTTAATAAAAGATTTCATATGAAATTTCTGGCTGTGGTATGCTGTTTTTCTACCCATAGCTCTAACCTCTGAAACATTCCAATATGAATTTCCTAGGGTTTTTTTTTTCCATTAAGTTTATTGGTACATTTTAGGTAGACAACACAGTTACATTCATCATTGGGAACTTGTACCTTTACACGGTGTATCTTGGTTCTTATTTTTTCCCCATTGATTCCTTTCTCCTACCCCTCCCACATCCCCTACCACATTTAGACCTTCTCTTCCTATTTCACATTATCAATTATATACTTTGATCTTTACTTACATTTTTAGTTTCTCACACCAGAGAAACTATTTGGTATTTACACATGTGTCCTATTTATTTCACTTAAGAGTATGGCTTCAATGTGCATCCATTTAGCTATAAATGTCTCTAGTTGCTTGGTTTTTATGGCTGAGTAGTACTCCATTTTATATATTTTTAAAAAAATCTTCTTTTCCAGTCTCCAGTTAATGGGCAAATGGGCTGTTTCCAAGCTTTAGCTATTAAAAACTGTGTTGCTATAAACATGGATGCGAATATATTGCTGTGGTATGATTCTTTTGGGAAGATACCCAGCAGGAAAATAGCTGGATCAAATGGACCTCTATTCCTAGTTTTTTGAGTTATCTCCTTACTGATTTCCACAGTGGTTGCAACAGTCTGCACTCCCACCAACAATGAGGAATAGTTCCTTTTCTCCCACATCCCAGCCATCATTTGTTACTGGTTGATTTCTTGGTAGCAGCCATTCTTTGTGGGGTGAGGTGGAGTTTCAGTGCTGTTTTCATCTGCATCTCTTGAATGACCAGTGATGTTGAACATTTTTCATATGTTTTTTTGCTGCTTTTACCTCTTTGTCTGAGAAATGTCTGTTCATTTCAGATGCCCATTTTTGAATTGGAACTTTATATTTGGGGGGGTCTCATTTTTTTTAAGTTCTTGATATATTCTAGATAGGAGTCCTTTGTCTGAGGAACAGCTGATAAAAATTTTTTCCCAACTTGTAGGTTGTCTCTTAGCTCTGTTGGTGGTTTCTCTTGCAGTGCACATCTCATTTTAATAAAATGAGATCCCAGTTGTTGTTTCTTTGTGCTAGTTCCTGTGCTACTGAGTTTTTGTTCATAAAGTCTTTTTGTAGGCCATGTCTGCAAGAGTTCTGACTTATCTTCCAGCAGATCTAATGTTATGCTTTAATATTTAGATCTTTAATCCACTTTGATTTTAATTTAGTGCATGATGGAAGATACAGGTCTAGTTTTAATCTTTGGCAGATCGAAATACATTTTTTTCAACACCATTATTAAAGAGGCTATCTTTCCTCCACTGAGGATGGTTGGCTCCTTTGTCAAAGATGAGGCAGCTCAGTATGTCTGGAGTTGTTTCTACATCTTCTAATCTATTCCAAAGATCCTCGGGTCTGTTTATTTGCCAGTTCCATCCTGTTTTTATCACAGTAGCTTTGTAATATAGTTTCAAGATGTGGATTGTGATACACTCTATCATGTCTCTGTTGCTTTTGCTTCCTCTTCTAGGTCACTTCTGGTTCCAAGTGAATTTTTGGATTGTTCTCTCTAGTTCTGTGAAATATAATGTTTGGATTTCAATTGGGATTGCACTGAATCTATCTAGCAGTTTTGGAAGTATGGCCATTTTCAGTATTTTGGTTCTTCCTACCCACAAACAAGGGATGTCTTTCCATTTTCTTATATCCTCTTAGATCTCTTTTTTCAGGGTGCTGTAGTTTTTCAATGTAGAGGTCTCTTGCTTTCTTTGTTAGACTGATTCCTAGATATTTCATTGTTTTGAATGCTATTGTGAAAAGAATTGTTTCCTCAATTTCTTAGTGAGTCTGTTATTTGTGTACAAGAAGTCTACTGATTTTTTAGTTTGACCTTATATCCTGCTACTCTACTTAATCTGTCAATTAAGTCTAGAAGTCTTTTGGCAAAGTTTTTTGGGTCTTCTATCAGTATTATGTTATTCTTCTTTGCATCATCTAGCAGCTACTGGATTGATTTTTCATGGTCCCTTGCTACCTTTAAGAGATCTCTCTTTTCATGGTCACTAACTGCAATCCTGACTTCTGTATCTGATATTCTGTCTTCACATTGGCTCATACTGCTGTGAATACCTTCAATAGAGTTTTTAATCTTTTGGATATGTGATTGAATCTGTTTCATGGATTCCATTTCTTTCCTATGTTGGGCATTCATGGTTTCTATTTCTTTCCTATGCTGGGCATTCATGGCTTCCATCATGGTCCCGAGCTCATCTTTTGTTATCTGTTTCTGTTCTAGAGTCTCTAATCATTCTGCTCACCATCTCTGGAAAATTATTTCTGTTTTGAATTTTTCTAGAGCCTTTTTTATCTGTTTTGTTATTTCCTGTGCTATCAGTTCAGGGTGTCCAGGTGGTGGATTATCAAATTTTTCGACTTCGTCTCCCCCATAATTTGCTTTTGGTGAGCTGGAAGTCTGGGTTTGCTCTTTGGTTAGGTGTCTTATCATTTCTATTTTTGTTGGTGGTGCTGTTTTTGGTTTAATTCCTGGGTTGATACTTCAATACTGCTTATTTTAAGTATCTTTGTTGTTTGTTTTAGAACCCTTATGGAATGATTTCTTTTCAGAGATGTCTTCCTGATAAAGCTGTTCTTTAGCTTTTGAGTCTCTAATGACTCTTAGCCAATCTTGTTTTCAGTATAATAGGGAGCATAACTGATTAGATCAATCACAACATCTTAGCCCACGTGATACAATCAGCAGCAATAATAGCATCAAGCACAGGTTAGAGAATGACAATTTGTGGTAGCTATTAATCTATCACCTTTAACCATGTGAATTAAATAAAAATCGAGGACCAGCCCACAATATTTTTATAGTGAATAAACTCTTTAATATAACAACTTTACTCTTTGGAATGAGGATTTAGAAGGAGATGGGGAGGAAGGGATGGATAGAAGGATAGGGAAAGCTTTGAAGTGAGGCCAGAGGACACAGGAAGATCTGAGAAACTGTTGAAGACAAGAGGAAAAGTCAGAATGAAAAAATAAAGACAAGAACAGAACAAAGTAACAGCAATAGGGAAGCTAGAAACTGTATTCACTTTCCTGTAAAACTAATGATAATCAAGAGAAGGAAAAGAGAGAAGAAAAGAAAAAGAAAAAAAGAAATCTGAATTAGGACAACAACAGGAACAAAAAAGAGAGATGAACAAGTTGGGATACAGGCAGAGAGAGAGAGAGAGAGGGAGGGAGGGAGAGAGAGAAAGAAAAGAACAAAAAGAAAAAATATAAATTTAAAAAATTAAAAATAAAAACTAAAAATAATTTTTTAAAAAAGGGCCTCCTTCAGGGTATGTCTGTGCTGTATCAGTAGACAACATGGGAAACAGGGTATAGATCTAAGTCAATTAATCTCAGCAAGCCAGCCGCAGTCTACTGAGATTAAGTCTGGTTTCTTTCTGCAAAGTCCTAGTTGAGCTCCCTGACCTCCTGCTGGATTGAACTCTGCAAGGTTCTACTGCAGGTTCTAGCTGCCCTTCTCCCTGCAGATAATCCAAGTTCTGATGGGAGGTAGTGATCCTTCCAGCTTACCAACCACAGTGGTCTGGTGTACCTTTATTGCAGATTTTCTTCGCTTTTCCAGTGGGCTTCAATCAAGGATCCTCAAAGAAGCCCTCTGTTGTTCACTTCTGCTTAGAGCTCAGAACAATGGCCTTTATGAAGCCCTGTGCCTCATTTGTGTGGATCCAGGTACTGGTGCCACCTGGAGGCCAGAGGTGGTGGGGGATGCCCTTAGGTGGTGCTATAGGTGCCCACACAGCTCAGCTCCTTGGATGTGGTGCTAATGGCAACTTGGGCAGCTTGGCTTCTCTGTGACTCAGCTGTTATGAGGCCTGGGATACAGTGCCATGAATTTTATTGTTAACAAGTATTTTTATGCACTCATTATTCATTCTGATTTCATCATAGTTTTCTCTGAAATTTACTTTGATATTAAGACTTTAAAGTGACTTATTAAAAATAATAACTTCAAAAGTTGACTTGTTCAGTTTTAATTAAAAGAAGTTTCTAAAATAGATTTAAATTATTTGAGTTATTAGAAGTATGTATAAATCATATTCCTAACTAGTAAATCCTGACTCTCTGTACTCTTCACAAATCTCATCTAGATTTTGTTTTTAAATTGCACAGTATTAAAGCTTATTATCATTAGTCCATTCATTTTTATAACTGACTTTTTCAAGGCAGTATTATAGGTGCTAAGTAGTATAGTGATTTAAAAAAAAAAAGACATATAGACACATCCACTCAACCAAGTGTGGTGGTACAAGCCTATAGTGCCAGGCTGAGGCAGGAGGATCACAATTTCAAGCCTTTCTTGTGCAACTTAGTGAGATACTATCTCAAAATAAAAATAAAAAACAAAAAGAGCTGAGAATGTAGCTCAGTGTGAAGGCCCTAGGTTCAGTCTCCACTGGGGGGAAAAAAAAAAATCTCAATCCAGAGAGCTTACATTGTGGTGATATTCATATGCAGAGTGATTTCATACTGATTTTGTGCTCATATGTTCACATTTCTCTTTGGCCTGTACTTGAGAATGGAATTGCTAGATAATTTAACTTTGTTTAACAACTTTAGTTGCCAGATCATTTTCTAAATTGGCTGTACTATTTTCCATTCTCACCAGCACTGGATGAGGCTTTCAGTGTCTCCATAACCCTACCAATATTTGATATTACTTGATACTTTTTATTATAGTCATTTGGTGGTATGAAGTTGTATCTCATTTCTGTTTTGATTTGTATGTCTGTACTGCATGTGCTACTGTTGGGCATCTTTATGCTTATTGACCATATAGATGATATGTACATACAAAATAGATATATAAATATATTTTTACATATGTAAAAATATATTTATTTATCTATCCTTTGGAGAAATAACTATTC